TTAAAGAATAATACAGTATTTACTCTATAGTTGACTAATGAAATTAACTGATCGAGGATTTTTTTTAATTCTGAATTTTTTTTTTTTATCGAATTTGTCTATTCGGCCTAATTGTCATTTTTATATACCTTATTTATTCGAATAAATATAACTCTAGGTATGTTTTTCTATTACTGTTAGTGTTGTTAGTTTTTACTATCACATTTTATTTGCAAAAAAACTGTTGCATGCCCATATATAGTCATGATGTGCCTATATATGGTTATGATGTGATGTCATGATGATTATTAATTATCATAGGTATGTGAAGGAGACACAATCGAAGTTGAGGTTATTAATAATCTTCCTAGTGGAGAAGGGACGGCTCTTCATTGGCATGGTCTTCATGTACGAGAATCGCCGTACATGGATGGAGTCACGATGATAACCCAATGTCCAATCACATCTTATACCAACTTCTTGTATTGGATGAAAGCTGACCCGGTTGGCACTCACTGGTGGCACAGCCACGCTGGATTTCAAAGGGCGGATGGATTGTTTGGCGCCCTCATTGTACGACAAGCACCCTCTCGTGACATACATTTTTCCAATTATGACTACGATCTCTCTGAACACACAATGCTTGTTCATGATTTGCAGGATAATTTATGGCTTAATACTATGTCTAGTTTTCTGCATGGGGAATTCAGCGTCCATCCAGACACGATGATAATAAATGGAAAAGGCAAACGAAGAACAATAATAAATGAGGAAGGACTTAATGCGACAACACCCCGAGAAGTATTCCACATTTCCCAAGGTAATCGATATCGATTTAGATCGATTAGTAATGTCGTTTTCAACTGTTTGTTGAGGATATCAGTTGATAATCATACGATGACTATTATAGCAACCGATGGGACCCCAGTCGAACCTTTCGAAACAGATTGTTTTCTGATTGGCGGAGGAGAGCGTTTTGATTTCATTTTGAATGCTAATCAACCGATCGGCAATTATTGGGTTCGTGTTGAAGGTATGAGGCCATGCGAAATGCAACAGGAACTTGCCATTTTACGTTATCAAGGTGCTCCTGATGTTGATCCTGATCCTAATGAATATAGGGAAATTTGGGATTTTCAAGGGAAGACAGTGAATTCTATTGATGGAACGGAAGTACAGATTACAGAACTTGTATCTGCAGGTATGGTAATGG